TTGGTACTGTCTTTTCATCTCCAAGAAAGTTTATCTCAGCTGTTTGCTTACCCATCTCCTCCAGCTCAGAAGTCATGGATTTGGATCGTAGTGCAATAGCCGGCGTGCTCAGCCTCTTGCTCTGCTGGGGACTGGAGAGAGAGAGGGGAGGGGAAAGAGAGGCAGAAGTGGAAAATGAGACTGTTCAACAGCAGGATTCAGCTAGCGCTATCATTTCACCCAAAAGTGCAGGAACAGGCTCTTACTTTTCTTCCTCGAACCTTCCTCCATGTCAGGGTTGCGGGTCACCATGACAACTTTGACCATGAGGCTGTTGCCACCTTGCCGAATCATGTTGACGACTGTCGGTGACCGACCTTCACCACGTTCTGACCGTTGACCTGAAGCACACACGGAGACGGACACAGACTTTCTGAGTTCTTCATTCATTTGAAATCTGAAGCCGTATTCACACAGGGCTACTGCAAACATCACAACCGCAAGTGATTTAGCCACAATGACATTGTCTCCACATAATAACTGATGACTCTGTTGCACAAGCTTTAAAAAGTTCCTTACAACATGCTGCCCTGCAGGTCATCCATCTCGTCATTTTAAAGATTTGCTTTTCTGATTAAATGCTTTTTCTAAGTGTGGGTCTACATTGCACATTTTTTCAAAAGCCTCCAGAAAAATAAAGAAGGTAGAAAAAAGTAACATAATAACAAAATATCCTGCAAAAAATAAGTTGACCCCCTAACCACAGAGATATTACTTTTAAGTTCAGTTCTAGTGTAAACTTAAACGTTTTATACAGAAAAAAACAACCCAATGCAGCAGTAGTTATGCAGTTATGCAGTAATGCAGTAAATAATGACAGTACTTCTATCAGGAAATCCCCCATCCTGAGACCGGCTCTCCAGGCGACGCCTCCCTCGTCCACTGACTCCAGGTACTGCAGGGCGGGGAACGCGGGGGTGGGTGTGAACTCCTCGATAGGAGTCTGAGCTGGAGACACCACGCAAACAAAAAGAAAAAATGCATTGGTGCTTCATTTCAAATAACATGTTTGGGTGTTTTTAGGGAACGCAGACTTAAATCAGTGAGTGTATGTTTTTTTTTTTTTTACCTTTGGCCCCTCTCAGCACAAAACCAAAACCCTCGCTGTCTTTTTCTGCAGGAGCACCGACTTCTCCTTGATTATGTAGTCACTAACGGAGAGGATGCAGAGAGGGACAAACGAAGAGAGAGAGTAAGACATGACACAAGAAAGACAACAGACAAAGAGCGAAGTAAATCCAGCATGGCTGGATTCCCCCTCTGTTGCGTTAATGGAAAAAGAAAAAAAGGTTACGTTTTAGATGCAACAATCAGCCTTTAAGTTTCCACACAGTCGATCTACAACCACCTCTGATCACTTGTTGTATGTATGCTGTATGTTTCTGACAGCGAGTGCTACTTTCTACCAGAACATCAGTGAAAAAAAAAGAAGCTATATACAGTATGATGGCGCTGCTTGTTGCCTGAGCAACAGCTAAAACTAGACGCAGGTTTAGACCAGAGCCGAGCAATGTAATGGAACAACAGTAACAGACGCTGCATGCTCACAGGCGGAGCTAATATAGGAATGTATCATTTCTGTACATTCTGTACAAACTGACGGGAAAGACAACTTAATACATCAAATTATTGTATATACTTTACAACCATTTCTGCTGCTGCATATTTCTAATCAACTGAAGTAAAGTTTGATATAATGGTTTACTGATGAAGTGTCGTTTTTTTTTAATGCTAATTGTGTAATTTACCTTTTAAGTTGCTGATACTAAAGCAAGTTAAATAGATTGTAATTGAGTTTAATGTGATCTACTTAAAGATCGCATTAAAGCAAATGACAGACTTCATTGGATGACGATGTTAAACTTCCAACAATTTGAATAATCTTTTTTCAAACTTATTGTGTAAAAACCAACATGCACAGGCCCTCGTTCCTTTAAACGCTCGAGGGTGCGATTTAAAAAAAAAAAAAAAAAAAAGCTAAATTTTCAGGCGTGTTGACTAAGAACATGAGAAGAGGCTTCACTTGGACTTGCATGAGAGGTCAGACATGTCACTAACATAGATGCTTGGCCTGTTGGACTCCCGTGTTATGAATGGAAAGGACATCCTGGGAGTTATTAAGTCAGTCAGTGAGTCAGAGAGGTGGATATATACAGTGTCAGCCGTAACATACTGTAACCACATGCTGATGATCCCATCGTGCACCAAAATAGTCCCAACCCACTCCATCTGTTCGTTCCTCTCTGTTTCTCTTTTCCCCAGCTTTCTTCTTTTTTTTTTATTTTCCATCCTGATGGCCCCTCCATACCCATCTCTATACTGGCTTCCTTCCCTTGTTCTCCAAACTTCTTCCCAATTTTCTCTAAACACATTCCCCCTAATGAGCTTTTTCATTCAGCCTATTGAGTGCATGATACTCTCGGCAGCTGTGTGAGGCTCTCTGTCTCTGCCAAGGCTCGGTCTCTTTGTTATTCTTGTCCTCTTCTGTGCCGCTCTGCCACCCAGGCCGGACCTCAAATGCCGCGACGGGCCGAGTGAATAAAGGAGCACATACTGTACGAACACATCACACAAATCTGAAAGTCAGACTGAGTGGTGAAAAATGTGTAACGACTGGGAGTAAAGCAAGTGTTTTAAACATGCAAACACACACGTCACATTCCCCCTGCATAAGCAACAATTCACCACACGGATTTCTACCACGTGTTCAGGCAACGTACATGCCACACTTCTTTTTCATTAGACGTCTTTTGTCCTCATTGATGTTTAGTTTTATAGAAAGTCGTTCTTCCCGGCGTAAACATAACGGATTACTGCAGCAAGTTTTTTTTCCCAATCTTGTTTGAGGGGCTGCATGATTACACACTTAAAGCAACACTCTTAAGAACTCCTACACCCATTCTGGAGCGAATATAGATATCAAGATAGTAATTTAGATAGAAGATAGATAGAAACAGTGCCTGGTAACATGCCATATCTAAGAAGGGGAGTTCTTCTCACTTCTCACAAAGGCGCACGCAGCCAAAACAACGACAGATAGGAAAACTAACAAACCCACACACTTACTCCATGCCACACAAATATCTTCTTATCAGAAACGTTGTAATACCACTTTAAGTCTTGGTCAGGTGAATATTGAAGGAAAACATGACTTTATATAAATGCAGATTTGTCACATCAAATGGCAGACAAACTCTCTGATTGCAGGCGCTCTTAACAATCTGCACATCTCAGAATGACAAACAATAATTCAATTACAAAGCACAGGACATATACACAAAAATATATAGAATTATAAATTATGGAAACACATGACTATTCAGAGTGACAAAACATCACGAGCGTTCATATCAATGCAGACAAAGCAGAACGTGATTGATTTGAACTTAAGATGCATCCAGAGCCTTTTGCACAGCGATCGCAGCAACCTCGAGAACAAAGTGACACTTGCAAAAACCAAGTCATCCCTGGTGTGAACGAATAATTATGGAAACTGCTCCACAGCGTTTTCATTGGGAGATGTGTCAGATCATAGCTGTCATGTTTATGTTCTTTTCTATCCACTCATGTTTGTATCCCTCAACTTCTCATCCTACCAGCATCTATAACTAACCTATGCTTCACTGTCTTGAAGGACATCATCAACTTTTTAGCATCATTTTCTATATCTCAGTTTAGTTTACAGCGGGGGGGGGGGGGGGGTTGATCTGCTTAAGGACCGAATTTGTGTGCACATTAAACAAACGATACTTTAGTATAAATCCATGTTTTTACACCATGCAGTCAGATAAAGTTTGATGCCAGGCATACACTGTGCTATTGCATTAATGCTGTTGTGGAATGTCGTCTCACACTGCATTAATAGTTTACAATACACAAACAAAGCTCATGATATATGTGCTCACACTGGACAGTCCGGTTGTCAAGCAGAATCAGGGTGCTCACGCTGCATGTTGAACTGGGATGGACACATTGCAATTGTCAAAAAAAGTTTCTTTCTCCCAAAGATGGCTGTTGAAATCAGATTTGATTTATTCATTTATTTAAATGTATTTAACCAGGAGAACCTCATTGAGATTAAGAATCTCATTCGCAAGAGTGTCCTGGCCAAGAGGGGCAGCAGCACAACAAAGAGTTACAGACATAAGACACAGAGTCATTACAAACACAGTTTAACATGTCCTGAGTCACAGAGCACAAAGTCGTCAGTCAAAGCATCTACAAACTGAAGCATCTTCCTCACACACCTTCAATCTACTTTGATAATGATTTAAAGAGACAAGCTCCCCCAGACACAGATCATCCTGCAGGAGATTCCACGCCGTCGGAGATCTATGTGCATCTCTATTGTCTCAAATACGAACATCGACAAGAAGGCGTTCTCACATGCACAGATACCATAGACTGTAAATAAAAGAGAGACACACACACACACACACACACACACACACACACAGTATCCCCAACAAGCTACCTTGCAAGCTAACCCTATAGTCTATTCACTGGCAGCTGCAGCTCTGCAGCCAGTTCCTGCCAACGTTTCTGTTCACATCTTTCCTGATAAGAGGGGATACCACATCAAACAGGCATGTCTGCTGCTGCCATGGTTCTTTCAAACGCTGTCTGCCAGTTTGCACGACAGAATCAGAAGAGCCCTGGAGTTGGGGAAACGGCTCATGGCTCTGCTCTCACAGTGCAAGTGTACGCAGTTGTACGACCAAAATTTCAAACGTTCAAAAATTCATCTGTGGAAGTAAAAAAAAAAAAAAAAAATCAGGTACGAAATAGCCTGATGTCGCATAGTGCCTAAGCTAGCAATCGGCTAAAAGCTGAAATGGGGAAAATGTGGTAATCATTTCACTTTCCCTCACTTCACTTTCACTTTTTGGGGTGCTCTAAGAGCTGTTCTCTTGTGATCCATTTTGAAACTTTGAAAGTTGAGCAGCTGAACACACCATTCGTTTTGCTCTTTGTGCTGCTCCATCATCCAAATGACAAAGACGAGCAGGTCCAGATCTGCAGAGTCTCTCACATTGCAACATCATTGTTTCCTGCACAATTAGTTAGTTAACAAGTGCTGTCATAAGTAGCTGAGCTGGACTATCCAGCACAGCACATAGTGTGTCTCATACTGCTTATGTATTCAAGGTTTTATAGAGGTTTGACCATGCAGGCTTCCATAGAGATGTCAGAAGGTAGCTGGAACTTGTCATGCATGCTGCATCGTTAAAACTCCCCCCCCCCCAACACTGTTTCAAAATTTTCGGCAGTCTCCCTACTTCTCTCTCTTGCCCACTCTCTCTCTCTCTCTCTCTCTCTATCAGACACACACACACGCGCACATACGCAGGTAAACATACAGAAGCACGCTACACATAATGCATGACACAAGAACACATGCAATTAACCAGCCAACAGAGGGATCTCAAATGTTGGTGGACAACATCAAACACACCATCCATGCACACACTGACACACACACACACACACACACACACACACACACACACACACACACACACACACACACACACACACTCACAGGCATGCGTGGACACCAACAAACATGCAATCACTCCGCACATCAGGAAAAGCAGCAAGCGTGTCTTGTGCCAGTGCAGCATTGCTCGAGGACGTTTGTCCAGAGAGCGATTCAAAGCAGAGAGAAACAGAAACCCCTCACGCACACACGCACACATGTTCAAACAGCGAGCCACAGAACAGCTGCACAGCTCATACACCAGGCTGTGCAGCAGCAGCAGCCTTCGTCCGTCTTCACACACATACGACACACACACATACACACACTCTCTCTCTCTCTCTCTCACACACACTGAAACACTAAATCAAACACATCCACCTTCCAAGCATGCGTTGCAACATCTGTCTATCTAATCGATCCTTCCTGGCCATCCATGATGTCCACATGCATGCATCAATACCCCCCCCCCCCCCCCAGCTCCCCCGGCAACTGAAGGGAGAGAGGCAGAGCAAGAGAGAGAGGGAGGGAATGGTATGGGGGGGAGGTATAAAAAACCATGGCAGGTACCTGTAAATGAACCAGACGCTCCTATTCACAGGGCCAAGTGACGGCCAGGAAGAAGAGAGAGA